GGATTTTAAATAAGAATACATAAAAGTGTATATCTCATTCTCTCAACGTTTTTAGTATAAAATTACATGTTTACCATGGATTTAGTCACCAAGTTTTGAAACCTTAGGTGATAGCTGTGTACTCATTTCGTAATTCTCACCGTATTGCTATCGTAATGAACCTAGAGAGTGTTTAATTTCAATAGTGATTTGTTACAGTTATAAACATAATTACTTAACAAACTTTTTGTGAAGCCAGTTTCAGTAATATAATGTTTAATCATTTACACAGAGTTAATTGAAGACTCTTTGTGTTGAAATAGCAATTACTACAAACTGGCTGATTGCACAACGGTAAACATTCATTTGAGTGCAAACGCCTGATGAAAATTAACAGAAAATTGCTGTACAGGGTGCTTGGTTTACATTGTGAAATGAACCTAACGTTTTAACGAACAATGCAAATGTCTTGGTGATCATTATTTTTCGTACAAACACAAAATGTTTATGATTGGATGCAAATAAATTTGTATTTATTTTTAAAGGTATTGATACGGTTTATGGATTTGTGATAACCCGTCCAAACCCTGGCCTTTTAAATACCCAACTACCTAATTTGGGTCTAGAATCACCCTGCTTGGTATCAAACCCTGTAATATCAACCCCTTAGATCCAAAGAAGAACACTATCAATTCAGCTCCCCTTATGGTATTAACAACATTTACCAGAAAATAAATAATATACTTATAATAACATGAAATATGAACTTGTAAAGCATTTTTCACCACACTGTGATGTTTTTAGCTGTTTAACATACGTTAATTGGTGGCTGAAAGTCACGTTTTGTGTCATCATCTGGGGACCAAGCAGGCTTTTACATCCCTAAGGCCGCAAAATCAGCTGACCGCTTACTTTCTTAAAACATGAATGCATATTAAATACACAATCAGTATCCATAGCAATGCAACAGAATTCTTTTATAGTCACCGCTGCCTATCAACTATTTATTGTTATTTTTACTGATTCCTCAAATTATTTCTTCACATAACCTTAAATTTTTAGTTGTGTTGACTGTTAGTGTACATTATTATTATGGTGAATAGTGGTAATAGGGTATGATGTGGTGAAAAAAGCGTACGTACCACGTACTGATATGGTTTTGCAGCTCTCGATCATTTTAAAAATTATCTCGAGCCGGCAACACCTCATTTTTGCCCCTAGGTACGAAATATACTATAGTGTACTGAGGACATGTTTTCATGTGTATTTCATTAAATGTTTTACTTTTAATTCCAGTACGTATTATAATGAATCTGAAATTATATAAATTGCACATTTATTATCTGTGTAATTTATACAACTACAAAATGTGTAGTTGTGGAATTGGTGTTAACCAATTCTACATTTTAATCGTCAAGCGTTTAATTCCCAAAATCTTTCAAAACATTAACACCTATAAAATAAATGTTTGGTTTGTTAGCTATTTCAGTTAGATTCTGTAAAAGAGTTTTCAAGAATACTATAGCCACGTTTTAAAGATTTGGACAAAATATGAACAGTCATAAGAAATTAAGAAGGTGAGTTACATGCAAACCACCCATGAAGTTTAGTTCGTCTACAAATACTGGGTTGCTATGTACATATGGAACCCAAAGTTGGAGCACATGCATCCATTCTCTCGACTATTTGAATTGCAGATTAAGTTCGATGACTAACTTTATCTTATAAGTATAAAAAAGGATGTTGGTTTATATATCTGTTTGTACATATAATCTTTAAAGTTAAGCCGTAAAAAATAACAATATCTTAATTAGATACTTTTAATTTTGAAAGCTGTCCAATTAGTATTATACACTTCGTTTCACTATCAATATGGGAATATATACATTTGCTACAGTTGTATAAGATACGTTGAGTGGTATGAATATAAACATATAAACATTAAATCTTTGCCAAAGAGTTTTCCTTGAAAGTAAACCTAAAACCATTAAAGCTAAAAGTAGCATCATTAAAACTTTTGTAATAAAATAAAATATGTCCCTTATCATTATCCGAGGGCTATATTTCTCTTCCACACGGATCTAAATTGAGTTAACAATGCAAATGTTAGACACTATTCCATATTTAAAATTGTGAAATACTATTTATTTTCTTTGTGATTATTTCGTTGATGGTCGTATTAATTTCTTACTAGTACAGTTTGTTAGGGTGCGTCCCATTCAGATTATTATAATGCCATCCACTAATCACAAAATTTATATTTGTTGTTTGAACGTTCTTGTACAAATCTTCGCTACATTTTCCCTTGTTTAAAGTTATCATCTTTATAATTTTTTTCTTCGAAATTTCTGAACTAAATATTTATATTTCATTTTATATTTTTTTAAGTTGCACATATGGGGAAAAACCATATAGTTATCAAGAAAAACCTATGATTTTATATAAAAAAAAACTTTAACTCTATGTAATTGATAAAAAACAACATTAACTTTCTCGAACACTTCGATAACAATCCAAACTTTGGGTACAACGCAAAACAATGTTGTTTCAAGAGGTATTCAAATATTGCTTCGAGGTAATGGCAGGAGCGACATTCGAGTAATTTTTAAATAAATATTGATTTTCTTTCTCCTGAAAAATGTCTCTCAGTCACCAATTCCATACTAAAATTATTTTATACACTTTTATATCGCGTACTAATATAGCATACAGATACGCATTTAAATAACCAATAAAATAGGTGTTTTTGGTTAGGGAATATAATTAATATTTAAAACGTAATTAAATATAAGTTTTAAGATATCATGACACCCTTATTGTGTATGATATGATAGTAATTTTCCTTCATACCAAGTAACTAAATATTTATTTACCAAATTTCTAGCTTAAATATACATTCAGACCATATCATTGTAAATATGTTTGCCAGATGTTGTATCAAGGATAGATGGAACTTCCTAAGTAACAAAGAAAAAAAAATAAATCTACCTTTGACTAAGATACCATGACACCTTTACTGTGAAGGATAGGATAATTCTTTTCAAACCAGTTACCTATATAGTAATTTACAAATTTTCTAGCTCCTAGTATCAATACATTCAGCCCATAACATTGTAAATATTTTTTTTAAATATCGTTGTATCAAAGACAGATGGAACTTCCTATGTAACATAGATAAAACTGGAATCTACCTTTGCTCCCTTTTCAAAAATCTGTTATTTATCTCGTAAATGTATGCGTCATGTGTTGAATGTGTGTCCGTATTTAAACACCAAATAATCTAGTCAAGTGGATTCAATGATTTCCCTATACCGAAGTAACTGGTAATGGTCTCTTGCCGAAACATATCATACGATTGTTACTTTTGGAACCAGATGACATGTAATAAAACCCTTTTTGTCATTATTGTAATGATCACAATGAAATATCAAACTAACAGTAATTTTTTCCGGTCGATCTAGTATTTGAACACACATTTTCAGTGTGAGGTGAAACTTTATAAGACGACTCAAAAATACACAATTGATCTTCACTTTTACTGTTTACCCTGGTGATAGAACCTACACTGAATGATTATATTATTTGGTGAGATCTTTGTTATATAAAACACAAAGACGGAAATAGTAATTTATATATTTAATTTATAAGTTAATTTACCTTGTTTCCGTTTAGTGATTCTCCTCCAATCAGTATCTCCTCCAAGAGTGGATGACCTTTTTAACGTTTATGACCTTAGAGGAGGTACTAAAAATCAATAGACGAAATCAAGGTAAACTAGACTTTTATTTATATATTTAAGTCATTTGATACTAGAAACCATATTTAAATTACAATATAATAATAAGGCTGGTTTTGATTTTTTTTTCATGGTAAAGGGTGATAAAATATTACACAAGCAGGAAATATTTCAACAGGAAAACTGCATCAATGTCTTTTATTATTGAATGTCTATCACGAAATAATTGACTTTCAGGCAATGCAACGTTTGACTAATGATCAGCTGATTAATTAAACACAGCCAGAAACATGGCGCCATTGGAGGGCTCATTAATTATCTAATCGATCTCCGTCTGTTCATTCATTCTATTGCATTCCAGAAAATTCTGCTCTTTACGAATTTGTAATAAATATTTTTGAAAACGGTATATCAACAAAAGTGCTGTTTGAAGTAACAAAAAAAGTAGATTATTAATGAATTGTTTAATTTAATATTCCAATAAATTGTACATCTATTTTCAGTTGTTAAATAGTTGAATTGAGTTTTAAAAATTAATAACACATATAAATAAGTATTAAGTGCCTAATGTTTTCGGTTCGAATGTATATTTTAATTGTACACTTTAAAATCTTTTGTACTATTGGAAACATTTTAGTGTGGTGTATCTTTATAATGTTTCTTTTTGTAGATAGTAAAAACTAAATTTCATATATGCCAGAAATTTTCATTGTAAAAACTGATCTATACTTTCCTAGGCTGTGTGACGAATGTGTCGATCTTTGTTTGTATGTCACCTCTCTCTATAATACGAGCAACGTTTGCGCGCACGATAATTCAAAAACGTCTCCAACGATTTAGAGGAAATCGTTGGATATATCTTAGTTTTTTGCTAAAAACTACATTTATGATATATACTGTTATAGGAAAATTTGGTTTTCCTTAAAAACCAAAACTTATAGGCTATGTTGATTTTTTTCATATTTGTCATATTAAAGTTAACGGTTATACGAAAATGTAAACGAATTGTAACAAATATTAACAACCCATCTACAAAAGAAAATGTCATTCGGGAGATTGCCATTGAGCATATAATACACTTAATATAACATATTTTACACTTAATGTGCCTGATTATTAATGTGAAATTGGACAAATAGGATTTATGACATCTTTGTATTGCCAACTGTTAAATTTGGCTAAGGTACTGTTGTTTGTAGTTTTTTAATCATCAGGACAGAAATTATCATAATCCCCGAATAAATGATAACGCTTTTACTTACTCTTATAAAAAAGGTCTGTTCTGACACAGTACGTAGATTTGTGTAAAACAAATAAATATACAAAAGAACAACATTTAATTTGCTTGTGTTTGTTCATTTATATTATAATACGGTCTTTTAATAGTTTCCCTGCTTTCTACTAGAGGTGTTTGACTTTGAAATCGTTTAAGGTCATCGAATATATCCCGTTCATTCAATAACAAGGTGTTATCTTGGGTTTCACTCGTTGCACTAACATTAGGTTGTGGCATATATGTTTCACTTTTACTTTTTAAAGTCTCATTAAACTGAACTTTTTTAAGGAGCGTTTTTGTAGAAAGCGATGAATACCTACCCCCTCTAGGAAAGCCTCTATTATATTTATTATGATGTGATTGGTTGTATGAATAATAGGAATCGTGTGTAGGCCTACTGAACTTCATATGATTCGTTGTCCGTTTTAAACCAGCTGTTCCAGTGCTACTGCCCCGGGGTCTATAAGAGGTCCTGACATAGCTCGAACTTCCCCTTTGGTACTCCGAATTTTGATCATCTTCCTTCTTAGGGTATAGGTCTTGGAATTTCCACGTATCTTTTAAGACACGTGTATGCTTTGAGAGATTAATAGATGGCAAACCTGTATTCCCATTAAGTTCCCTTTCTGATAGCACAAAAATTTCTTTATCCACATCTGCATGTACATTCTGTTCCATTGGATTTTCTTGCGAAGAAATATTTTTTGGAACAGATGCATTTTCTTGCGGTTGAGATGTTTGTAAGGGGGTATTTTCTTGAAATGTTACATCCCCTGTAGGTGCTTTAACGTTTTCTCTTGCGTTTAACGTGTCCTTATTGCTCAGTTCAATAGAGGTAGTGCTATGACCATTGGTATTTTCTTCAGAGTCATTATTTGTTCGTGGGAGTGTGCCATTTTCTTTAACTTCTTCATTTATAGGGTTATTGGTACTATTTTCTTCTGTTTTATCATTACTAGGTTCATTTATTTTATTTTCTTCGGGTGTTGATGACTTTTCTTCTTTCTTTGTTTCAGATTTAGTGGCAAAGATATTTCCAGCAGCATCTGAAACTGTACGTACACATTATAACTAACGTTATAAATGTCTATCTATTTTTTAATTGTTTCAATTATGTTTTCTTTACGGTTGTACCCCTTAAAACACACTATGGATTATACTACAATTCTGCATTCACAATTTTAAATTCCTAAAAACTTTAAGTTAACTTAAATATACTTAAAATACTCTTAAGTGGACGGATAATATTTTTTTAGTAACCACCAAACATTAGTGAATAATTTTGTTCTGTTGTTAATAGTGAGTTTAATAAAAGTGCATTTGTTTACCTTACTGAAACGATAGTTGAGGAGAGCAAAATCTAAACTAGGAAGAGGAATAGATATATATTTAAAACAAGAAATCTAATGGAGAGGGTCCACCATTAGTTATATAATTAGTTCATTTTATTGTCATTAGAACGATACAAATTTACTTATAATTTTGAAGTTGAAGCAAATTAATTTTAAAATAAAGCTAAGTTGAGATAAGTAAGAAAAATATAATTTAGAACAAACTTATTATTGTATAATAAACGCAGCTTGCTGTATTTTAGTGTTTACCTTTTATGGTGAAAGTTACATTTATTTTATTTTTTATATATAAAATACATTATAATCACCATTAATAAAATCACTAAACAACAGTTTATACATATTAATTTGAAGTTAGAATTAATATCTTATGCTCATTTTACGTTAGAAATCCTTTTCCCCAATAAAATCTTTATTTTAAACCTCCCTTGTTGTGATCTAAAGGTTCCAATCCAAACTAATATTTTCCAGTTAAATAAAAAATAAATTAAAATATAATTAGAAACCCACAACCATATTAACAGTTAACTTTAAACCAAAAATATTCTCGACACTATTTTCTCCTTTGAAAATAAAATAAAATAATATTACCTTTAGAGAGTAAAGATCCCATAACTGTTTATACTAATCCATTATTTGTATTTGTAAAATAAATTTATTAAAATAACAGAACAAAAATATGTGTTTTACATAACATTGTAACACTGAAAAATTCAACAATGTAGATAAGACGGCATTCTTATCATACACAGGTTTTTTACGAGTTATGGGTTAGGTCTGATAACATTCATTGTGATAACTCCATGGATTAGTACTTAGTAATTATATTTCCGTCCATGTTTGAGGTCCGTATATAAGTCAGTGTACAAAGCTTAAAAACTCTATTATTTTGTTTAAGTGAGATTAGAATGTATGAAAATAATAAATGAATTACTTTTAAAAGTTTAGTTACTGATTATTTACTAGCTTTAAATTCAAATAAACATTTATAACTTTATACATTTATTTCGGATAGTAAAGCCTTATCTTACTCAAAACAAGCATGGAAATACCCGTTTGCTTCAAATTTAACATAATATTACCCTCCAGGAGTCAAACATAACCAAGTTGTTTTATTAGCATCATTATTATATATTGAAGAAAAAACAACTTATATTCTGTAGGCATAGATTGGTGTGTATATTATTCATCTCATATTGCTTACATGCTGATTAAAATCATGCATTTTGATAGTGACCCTATCACAAACATTGATTTGGTTAAAATAGCTTTTAATCTAGCTAAGGCCTTTGATCGGAAAATCTTTTATTTCTTTTATGATACATATTTATATTTGGCATTTCGACAATAAAAATTAAAATCGTGTCTGAACATGATCAAAATTACATAAATTAAAAGTCTTCAATTTTATTTCTCAATGAATCAGGAAGTAAATTAGTGTTTTAGCACCGTAATATAATTCTAACAGGAACTGAATGCAATATGATTACATTTCAATTTGATGTCAAAAATGTCATTAAGTTAGAACAGCAGTTCGGGCGATGTTTGATGTGGTTTCGATACTAGCTCGAGTGGTTTGATGATATCACGAAACCTTTGAGCTTTGTGTAACTTTCAACACACCATATTTCGTTCGTTTTTAAGGGAAGCAATCATCTAATGAACGAAATTAATTACTTATGCTCAGTCAATCTCAAAACCTACATCTAGGTTTTAGCGTTTCGAGGAAATCAGGTTTTGAAATCGCTTGGCTACTTTTTAGGAACTAGCTTTCATGAGTGTTAACAGGAAATTGTGGAATTGCAATACATATGAATATTTTACTAGTGTTATAGTTAAGAGTAAGCTTATTGGACACATAAGGGAAGTTTGAGTTTAAACGAAGTTTGAACGAAGTAGTCTCTTATTGCAATACGAAGGGTGGTTGCAAAATAAAGAAAACAATACAATTACTTATTACATATCTTTGCAATACGATTCTTTAAAAGATCATAGTTTTGTTCTTTCATATTTATTTTTTTTTACATGTACATGGACTCACTAACTTTACGAAGCATGTAACAATGCCATTCCCTACCAAACTAGTAAAATCCATACTTAAGAAGACGGTAAGACTAAGTTATAAAATAAAGAAAACAATACAATTACTTATTACATATCTTTGCAATACGATTCTTTAAAAGATCATAGTTTTGTTCTTTCATATTTATTTTTTTTACATGTACTTGGACTCACTAACTTTACGAAGCATGTAACAATGCCATTCCCTGGCAAACTAGTAAAATCAATACTTAAGAAGACGGTAAGACTAAGTTATACTTTAAAAATTCTTAATGGACAAAAACTAAGCTTATTATGATCACACTAATATGTAACTGGTAAATATTTGACTTAAAAGTGTGTTTCATACGGTAGTTCTTAAAAAGAAAATACCCCCGCCGCAGCAAACCTGCCGACTAAGCGAATTTCCATTTGTCTGAATTGATTTTCAGTTAAATATTTTATAACATTAGGTTTAACGAGTACCTAGGTTTGCTGCTACAAGGAAACTAATAAAGTGTGTTTTTGAGTAAAATATTGATAGCTTAGTTCAAAATAAATAAATTTGCCAAGTTTGATCAAAATATATCCATAAACAAGCAAACTACAACATTTGACAATATTCTCCATAAGAATAACATGGGAATTTTAAATTTACAATTTTTTTAATTTTCTCCGTTACTAATAATCGAACAAAAATACTTTTATATACTAAATTATTTGTTTTTTTAAGCTCTTTAAAAAGGTCTAAAGAGAAATCGGGAAATTTTGTGTTTTGAGGGTCAAAAGTGAGAAAAACCAATTTTTACCCCATAAAACCCCCCGTAAAGCCCCGTTCCCATGGTCCGATCGTGCTGGTTTGCGAACTCATTCAAGTTTATCCCACTTTACACCTTTAAACCAAATTTCATCAAAATCGGACAAAAATTACTCAAGTTATCGCGTTCACGGACGTATATATATATATATTATATATATATATATATATATATATATATATATATATATACATATATAAAAATTTGAACGAATGGTGTTTTTAACCCCTGGGGACATCAAAATGAAAAAGTAAATCGGTCCCGGGTCTAGGTCTTACCGTGCCACCTACGGTAATAGCTACTTCCCTATAGGGAAATTCGCTAAAAAGAGGTTAAAAAAATTAAACCTGAGCATCTTTAAGGCTGGTATACAATTCTTAGTTTTATGTAAGAACTAAAACGAGTTGTTGGAGTTAACTGGAAATTCATTTTCACGATCACACGAATATTACCGTGTCCTCTGTTATACTATGCTGAAAACGTCTGTACTTGCAGGGTGTTTCGATACTCTCTCCTGAAACTCCGTGGGCATGTTCCTTAGGTCAAAACAAACCAAAAATATCATATAAGAAATATAAAACATCATATAGGGCGATATGCCTTGTCTCGCGTAGTCTTCCGTCTGTCAGTGTGTACGTATTTTTTACATAACTTCCCATAACTTTGAAACGACTTAAGGTGCCAACTTCAAACTTGGTACGTGTATGATAGGAACTTTTTTTCGCAAAGCATCAAGTTTCTATTTTGTATAATCCAAAAATGGCGGTCGTTTTAATTATTCAAAGCTTAATAACTTATAAACCATAGAGTTAATAAAAAATGTCAAATTACAAAAAGGATGGAAGTTTAATTCACTTTACAGAAATGTACAATTTGTATGAGGTCATAAATCAAATAAAGGAGAACATTTTTATTTTTATATAGGGAATACCTGATAATTACCTTTTTTAATTTGCCCACATTTTTTGTTTTAATTTCAGAAAACTCCCTTATTTTGTGTTATGACCCTATACAAATTGTACATTTCTGTAAAGTGAATTAAATTTCCATCCTTTTTAGTATTTGTAACCTCTTTATAAATCCTATGGTTTTTGAGTTGTTAAGCTTTGAAAAATTATTTTTCCACCATTTTTAAATATACTAAGTAGAAACTTGATGCTTTGGGAAAGAATAGTTCCTATTAGTCATCATCCACGCAACAGACGGAAAAAGCGTGATTGGGCATATGTTTATATGTATTTTTTTGTTTGTTTTGACCTAAGGAACATGACCATGGAGTTTTGGGAGAGAGTTTCAAAAAACCCTGTAGATGACTAAATAAGTTAAGACATATTTCGGTCCAACTAAATATTGCCATAAGTGTGAGGAGCTTTTCTCAATCCTTCAAACGTGGCTTGAAATTCTTCACGACACGGCTTCGCCTGGATCCAGAAATTAAAATGAGAAATCTTAGTACACTAATGAATTGATAAATAGGCGTGGCTTTATCCTTGATTACGAATTTTCACAGAATAAAGTACTTTAAAGAATTTCTCCAGGTGTTTACTTGCCTTATTCATTTTTGTGTTACAGTTCTCCTGATAGTTGAGCCATTTTTTGTGCTTTATCTTATTGATTTCACAAATTTACTGGATAATGTTCAGTCGTTTCAGCTCTAGGGCTGGTAAATGTGATTATATTATGTTAAGGGAAGCATAAGCAATCTGTCAAGTAACTGAAGAACGTATGTTAGACTGTAGATAAAATGTTAACGATTGTTTATTTCCTTTCATAAATGCACAGGACAAAGTAGGTGATGCTGGACTTCTTTGGCCGATTGACTTGGGTGTTTTTGAGAATACCTGTTGATCAGCTTGAGTTTAATTTGAAGGAAAATTTTACTTAGTCTCGGTTTTATTTATTCTATTTACAATTGATAAAAAAGGACCTTTAGACAACCATGTTGCCCTTTTGTACATGTTTAGGTAATGTTAATGAACGTATGGGACAAATATGTTATGTTTAACTATAACGACTTCGACATTATTTTTACAAAAAATCACTGCGTTACGTTTTAAAAATTATTAATGTAACAAACATTATATTTAAAATATGTTTATACTTTGTAACTAAGAAAAAGTTATAACTTTTAAAAGTAACTGTATTACATAAACTAAAATTTTTTAGGTAAAACGATTTGTTCACGAATTTTTTTATTATTTCTAACTGTAAAACCAAATTAAAAAGTATTTAAATATTTAGTTTGCATATAAACATGTGTTGCGGTATTTTAGTGAAAGTTTATCTACTTACACCTAATATCGATAAAATCAATTAGTAAATCTCATTACGTCACTGATGTGTTCTGTTCTGTGATGTGGCTTTGGTGGGATTCTGATACAAAGGCGGATGGTTTATAAACCTGATTAAAACTTCGGATATTGGAAATTCTGCGTAAACTAAAATACATTTTGGAGGTTTATTCCATTAGCTTATATGCATGACAAATTATGTGCTTTGGTGTATTTTAATTTTGTTAAGAATTTAAACATTTTTTTCATTATTAAAATATTTATCATGTTATGTTTAAACCTTATTAGAATGTAAGCTAAATCCTTGAAAACCAAGTTGTTGTTTATGTTAATTATTTGAAAGGTAATGATAAATAATATTATGTACGTTATAAATAATTTTAGGAATATATTATTCTAATAATTATATTATTTGTTTTGTGTAATTTACAACAAAACTTATTCAAACATCTTTAAAGAGAAATCAGTGTAAACCCATTAAATGTTTTGTGGATATGTCGTGAACCAAACACATCCAACTCAAACAAA